CCGAGGGGAGCAATGCTGAAAAAAGAAAGCAGTCAAGCGAGCGCCAGTCATAATATGTATTGTATATGTATATGTACATATATTGTAAATATATATATTTTCTGGCCAGTTTAGACCACTTACATACATGTATATAGGCATATATATGTATATGCCTATATACATGTGTGCAAATATATATTTATATGCCTATATACATGTGTGCAAATATATATGTATATGCCTATATACATGTATGTAAGTGGTCTAGACAGGCCAGACGGATGCATCATCGCCATTATCGTCGAGCGAGAAAGCGAAACTCGAGTCGAGCCGTTTTGTTCCTGAACGTCTCGCGAGCTCGTCAATCGAGTAATGAGCGCTCATTTTACGCGCACGATAACGCGTCTGTCGCTCGATCATGATACGTTCTCGTCTTTCTTTCTCGGTTGTTCCCTCTGCCTCCGTTTCGTGGATTCTCCGACCTCCGTTTCTTCTTCTTATTCGGCCCGGAGAACGTTGGCAGCCCGAGACGCTTTACAACGGACTGACCGAGAAGACCAAAATTCAGTGTCATAAATTTAACACATTGGACAAGTTTGTTCTGCTATAGACTGAGAATCCTTCGAAGCTTTCAAATCCAAAATACTATTCGTTTCAGATCATTCTTTGCCGGGATACCACGTTCGAAAGTCCAAGTAAAATTAAACGTTTATGGATTATTAGAAAACAAATCGAATTAATATTATAATTCTATATTAATCGAAATTGAAGTATCTTCTAAGCTATTAATTTGTTTTTCATAAGTAGGTTGATACATTTTTATAACTAATGCCGGACTGCGTCCATCGATGTATTAGAAAATACATAATTCCGTTTAAAACATAAAGTTGACCTTGATAGGACCTAAGAATCGTAACCTTTCCTTAAAATCGTCCTATTTCTTCGAGTTTTCGCTTCAATTCAAGTCATTTAGACCAGTTTGAAAAAGGTTGTACCGTTTTAAAAGGTGCGCGAACACCTTTGCTTCTCACTGTAGATCCTAGCTAATACTGTTTGATGGACGAAAATGTGTGACAAGCGTCTCCGAAATTACGATCCGTAAGGGATGCACGCCGCCTGAAGTGACAACTTCTTCCGTCTAACGTCGGCTATCAAAAGTTCAGGAACTTCTCTTGGATTTATAGAGCGCCAAGCACCCCAGAGGATCTTGAGATGCGCTTTATGCCTTTCCTTTGCTCGATTTTTCTATGGCTTGAAAGAACCTCTTTTGAAATTTTTAAGTGGCCGCAGAATGCAACACCGCGAATAGTTTTCAGGCCTTAATTGAGCCAAGTGTTCTTACTTTCGCCTACGTTGAATTCATCGCGGCCGCAGAAATATCGCATTAAGGAAACAGCCCAGGTAAGGAACGATGAAATGCGATAATTAACGCGGTTCTGATAAATACTGGGTCGCTGCGCGATTTCCGGCGAATATCTCTCCAACGCTCCGGTAAAGCGCGCTTTTAATACTAATCACTCCACTGCGGATCTTTGTGCAGAATGAAAATCGCCCGCATTAATTGCAAGAAGCAAGCATGTCGCACAGAGATTTACTTCGTCTATTATCTTCTTCAGTTTGCAAAGAATGTCTTTAAATTCTTCTAAAGTTTTCACTATTTTTGTTAATTCGCAAAAAAGAAGATTTTACACATTCTACATGAAATTAAATTCTACATGCATATAACTTGCAAAGATCTACAAAACGCATTTTTTTTAATTTTCCTTATAGGTTCAGATAATAAAGTTAAAAAAATGAGAGATTTTTTATTTTGCTTTGTCACTCCAAATAATGGCAAAATTGTAACAAACTAATCATTGTTTAGTCATTGTCTAGTGCTAGTTATACTAGTGTCTCTATCATCTAAAGAAAATTCAAATCGTTTAGTCCAATTTTGAAAAAGTTATTGCATTTTGGAAGGTGTCCGAATATTAATATCCCACTGTACATAAAAAGCCAAGCAAAAGGTAGGACAGCTTTTGATCCGTCTAACCCCAAATGGTTAACGGAGAAACGCAGTGTAAGATACCTCGAGATATGTAGTCGAAACGCTACCGAAACTCTATTTCGAAAACTTGAAATATCGTCGACAGCGAGTCGACGCGACGCTCATGAAAATACAGTTCACCCTGCGGCGGCAGCTTTGAAAAAGTTGAAAGACGGAGAGAGAGATTGACATCGGACGAAATTCGAGCTGATATAATATGTAGGTGGTATCCGAAAAGCCGTGAATTCGCTACCCAATTTCGTTTGTTATTTTCATTTTTTGGTGTCGCACTCGAGATAAAAAAGTCTGTTTCCCCGGAGGGAATTCTATCTCTGGCTAGACATCGGTGCTTGTTTTCGTGTTTCTCGCTGGGGCGCAACGGCAATCCTTTCTTCTTGTTTCCTTTTTTATGCTCTTTCCATTCTTTCGTTTTCGTCTTTTTCCCTTTCAACCAAGTAAGTCAAGTGTCGGCGACGGTAGATAGGGCCTCATTTACAAGCCAGACGGGGTAGGCCACTTGGCCCAAATACGGGAAAGGCTATTCTGCCCAGTGGATGCGACTCAAAACTTAAAATAACCCCTCTCTCGATAAGAACGCCAGCCCACCGTCACGTTTTTCGCTCTCCTCGACCGACACCGACCCGTACCGACGCCCGACATCGGCCCGACCTGCTCCACAGTGCGGACAAATGACAAAATTAACGACAAAAACGAAAATTTGGTTACTTATTATATATCGGTATTTATTCGCGAGAAATAAAATTTAACGAAACATTGGAAATAAAAAGTTATAAATTTTATTTTAAAAAATACATATAAATTCAATACTAAATGAATAATCGGTAAACTATTTATAAAATTAACGATAATAAACTAAAAGAAATTATAACAGTAACAAAAAGATTAACGAACTTTTGCTTAATGTTTCTCATTAAATAAACGCCAATTTCGTTAAAATCACTTGAAATCCATATACCAAACAGATCAGAAATCTTTATTTCCAAAATAGCTCGTAAATAAAAAAGTACGGTTGCTTATTATATAGCTTGCCAAATTAAGTATGACGGTTGGAAATATATCTTACATCATGATAGACGTAACTGGTGAATTTTGCCGATGTAGAGCGCACTGTGCGCTCCCTCGAATATATTTCGCGTGAATTTCGCCGGGGAATATTACGAATCGACCGCCGCGGCGGCCAGACAATACAATTGGCCGGGACTGATCTTTCGCTTAACCCTCCCGATCCTAGCGGGATGCATGTGTCCCAACGATCTTTTCTGATTGCCAGAAAGACAACGCGCGTCTCTTGTATACGTTATTATGCAGTAATCTAACGCGTCTGACTGTATATATTGTATAATTGAGCCTCTTAGTCGACAAGTGGCCTAAGTACGAAATTATGAATAATGATTTAATTGTAGAAGCGTTTAGCATTAAGTACAGATGATTTATTTACCATTTAAAATTTCTGTATATTTATATTAACATTTTATGTTGCGATGTCTTAACATTTCGATTTCAATTCGATTAAATATATTATTTCAATTTTATGAAATTTTTGAGATTGCCAGAATATACAGGGTGTCCATCGATATGTGCCGTTTGAAATATAACTGCTAAACTGTTGACCTTATGAGGAAAGCGTCGAAAATGTATTTTTTTTTCAGTTTTATTACTCAGAAGACAAGAGTGTGATAATTAATGACGATGCTGTTATGTGTTTTACGGATGATTGTGGTGATTGTGCGAGGAATGCGAACGTCGTTGTGGGAACGAGATCCTCCGAAACGAAATTGTTACAGTACGTTGGAAATAGTATCATCGGAGGCCAAAAGGAAGGCAGCGTTATCGAAAATATTTTTGTTAGCAGCCAAGCGGTGATAGTGTTTTCCTACCGCATACGTGTACACGGTAGCTTCAAAGAGATGCCAAAGATGGTTTCGATGCTTTGAACTTACTTTTATATACTTTCGACTCGTCCACTTTATCCAGCTGCCTTTATAAGTGCACTCGATCGATAATGCATACTGTCTGTGGAGAAACACGTCGGTATCACATACTCTTGATGTTTACGAAATAGTTTCAACAGAAATTGCAATAAACGTTGCTCGGATACGCCGTGTACCAGGAACGAAATTAAAATTCACTCTCTATTTGCTATCAAAGATACAATTTCTATCGAGATTATATAAAAACGATAATATCGAGTTAATGAAAAAATTGATCACGTATCTCACATAGGTACCAGAAACAAAATGGAAGTTCGATCTCCGCTTCTTACCATTAGACCTGCGGATCTTCATACGAAATAAAAATTAAATATATATTTAATTTTTGCTGTAATGATTTTAGCGAGCCGACTATAGCGCATCGATACTTCTTAATTATTTGAATTTGGTCCACTGTTTTAAATCGTCTCCGCCTGTTTTGATCATAAATGCATAAAATCCGCAGTCTGGTTATCATGAATACAGTTCATTGATTAAACAACAAATAACTGCTTAATTATCGCAGATAACATTTGCTCGATAGTTGCTATTAATTAAAAATGAATAACATTCGTGTCGCAAAGAATCTTCCCTTATTTTGATTTTGATACTATTTAGCGCGAAAACGAAAATCTGCATAAATCTGCGTGATCTGATCGCGAGGATCATTTTTATTAGTAGACCGCGAATTTTCATGGAAAATGAAAATTGCGCGAGTTAATCTCAAGAAACGTAAGTCCGTCGAAAATGTATTTCCTCTTTGTGAATCATTTGAACAAGCTGTGTACCTGACATAAAAATATTCTCAAATTCTACGAACTTTTCTACAATTTCGTTTCTAATCATTTTCGTGAAAATTCTCATCGAAAATTGACGGTACCGAGTACCTAACTCGTTCGGGTGTGCATGAACGATTGAGAAAACGAGGAATGCCGAGTGTGATCTTACGCTGACGTAGGGTTCGTCGCACCTAACACGCAGCTTTTGGCTATCTGTTGCAGGTACTTATGACGAATAATCCCAGCAAAACCGGTCTCGGCGCAACCAGCGAATTTCCTACAATCGAGCTAGATTCGACGACAGAAAAGAAACAGGCTTTATGGCGAAAGACACAACGGCGTTACAAAGAGATCGCCGACCAGCCAGATTAATTGCATCGTGCGCGATGCACGTGACGACCGGAAACAGTTGCATTTCTCCCCCGTGCGAGTCTTCTTGTCACGAAACATCGATTTCACTTTCGCAATAATCTGTAACACGTTTCCGGTTAATCGTTCAATTAATACTTATATATATATTTACTCGAATGTGTTTGTAATATAATATTCGAGAAGAACTCGTTGCAGCTTAGTACAAAGTAATGTTATAAAGTAAGTAAAGTTATACGTATAACGCGATGTGAAAACATTCAGGAATCCAGCGCACGGACTTTATGTACATTACATTGAATGCATGCTAACATTTTTACAATAAAAGACATGTTTGACGTGGGTGGAAACGGATTACGAACGATTTCATACTTCGCTGCGTTGCCACTTGTGCGCCGCGATCGTTTGTCAATCATTTTTACTTGAACTTTTTCATTCGCTTATTCTGCGTCGTTTAATATCTTCGTTTCACAGGAGATTGTAGACGTTAGTAGAAGAATTGGATCGCCGTACGTTCTGCATGTTCAAGCAGGTATGTTCGCAGGAATAATGATAATAATAATAACTTTATTTATCAACAGGATAAACTTTTTGTTAATGTTTATGTGAATGTAAATTTTTAAAGCATGTTTAGGGAACATGTACGTAATGTACATATACTTTGCGCAAGTATGGCTTTTTATGGAAAATGATCATTTTGGATGTTCATGAAAGTTTCCATTTTCAGAGTCCAGTTACGGAGCAAATATATTTTATATCATTGCGTAAGTATTGGTTTCGTTAAAAATCGAAAAGTTCAATGGGCTTCATTGACGTTTGTATAATTTTACATACCCCAAAAATGTACGAATAATTTATTGCTTTCTCGCATACGTACAACTGGAGGGTATTTTTTTATTGGTCAACGTTAGAAATATCACCAACCGACATTACCAATATTAACTAGGAATATTGCCAAAAACGTATCAATTTAAAAGAACAAAAAAATGCTGAACATTCTACACGCAACCATAAATTCTTAACGCATTCTAAAGAATCGCGACTGATTGAGAAACGAGTGATTTTTTTTTCCTTTTTCGAATAACGTCGTGATTACTGAAACATAAATAATAAATTATGCCAAATAGCATGATACAGAATATTTCTCTTTTTTTTAAATTTTTGTTGTAGGATTGTTTAACTAGACTCGATCACAATAATTGAAGCAAAGTAATTACTGGATTGCGGATTTTTAGGCAAAATAAAAATTGTCTGCATCAATCGCAAGGAATAGAACCCAGTAGCTTCCTTTAATACATCTTAATAGATTAAAAATAATACACATCGACGTTTTAGAATGTTTTTTATTTTTATATTATTTTAAATTGTCACTACTCAATTTCAGCATGAATACGTAAAATCCGCGGTCTGGTAATTACATCAGCGTACAGAAATTGACACACGGTAATTACATCGGTGCACAGAAATTGACACACAGTAATTAGAAAAGGCTCGGTAACCGACACACAGTAATTAACTTTCTGTCTTTTTAAGGGCCCGGTGACTCGCTCAGAAACTGTTACGTATATTTTGTTAAATATTTCTTGTTCTTTATATACTTCAATTATACAACAAATTCGTACTTGCATAAAAGACATCGACATGTAATTTAACACTAAAAATAAGTGTGAAAGGATAGAATTCATTTAGATTTTGAAAAGTTTTAATTATAAAATTTACTCCGGTAATGTAGTTTATTCAATAATTTTCCACGAAGATGTCACTAAAGTTTGTAGAGTATCGCGCACAATTAAAAACCGGCCATTTTGAAAACCGGTCGTGTTAAATGTTTTAAGAAGTGCGATATAGGTGAAACAAAAAAACTGTTTAGTCTGTCGAAAACTCCGGATGTCACTTTCATGGGCGCGGTAATTGATGCACTTACTTACTGTTGTATACACGAAGATCGAGCGTTGCTTTACAAGTTCACGTTCGAGTGAATTTATTCACGGGTTTGACAGAAAAACCTGGTGAAATGAAAAACGTCGGATCGCTCGGACCCGCGCGTCGGGTTCCGCCGTCAGTAAAATCATGGGACGCCGATCCGACGGCGAATATTACAGTGATTAGGGGATACGCGGCGAATAAACCGTCCACGAGTGCCGTTTCGCTCGAGAGTCGGCTGGAAATCGTGACAAACGTCGGTGGCCACGCGCGGCGCCGTAAAAATAATGAATATCGAGCCCCGCTGGAAATAGTTTATTATGAAAACCGCACGATGTGCCGAAGGAGTTAAGGGCTCGGCCTAAACTTACGGCTCTCGTACTCTCTCTCATTCTCTCTCGTTCTCTCTCTCTCTCTCTCTCTCTCTCTCTCTCTCTCTTTCTGCGCACACTTGCCTCGAGGTCTTTGCACCGTGAAGTTTGCTTTATAAATATCGCCGGTGCACCGGAGTGTCTAGAGAAACGAACCGTGTCTTGGACGAAACGAACGGTCCAGTTCCCCGCTTCAATTGCAACCGAACCGTCCTCCTTTTGCATTATTTTCTAATTTCCACCGGCGCGGCCCCACGTCGTCGTCGCTTCTGCGCCATCAACCGACAAATAAAATCGAGAAGAACGCACCTGGGAATTCGCGCGACAGCTGAGTGTTATCCTGTAACTGTTCGGAGAATTTTTTCCGGATCGTTGTTCGCATACGACAGCATTTGCCAGTGTTCCTCTGTCAATTATCTGATCGAGTTCACCGGTGACTCTGACTCGAAACAACAATACCCGAATTGCAGAAACGCGTTTTTTGGACGTATTCGACGCGTCCACTTTTGAACATACGGGACATCTTTACGAAAAAATAATAAATATTTTCAAAATTCATTTGAAACGTTTTTCCGAAATATCGCTGTAATAATTGTATAAATAAAAACGAAAGAAAAATGTAGTCTCTGACCGAGATTCTATCCGGATCAGTTAGGTCCCGCTACGTTTATTTGGATATAACAATGTTTAATATTGCATAATATATCTGTATACAATTAAAGAAACATCGAGAACTTCGTTTTTTAGATTATTAATTGAGATCTCCATTTAAAAAAAGAATCTGAAAGCAAATTATTCACAATGACTGAGATTAGATTCACTCATTTGTAACTACTTGTTATTTACTTTTTCTTTAATTTAAAAATTGAGTGAAATATTTTAAATAATTATAGAAGATTAATCATTTGTAAGAAATTAACTTAAATTGGAAAAATGAAGCCAACTATTTTTTTGATGTGCCGGGGATTTTGTTTGTAACTGATCGCAACATGTGCTTTACTTAGGTCGATTTCAGAGCAAACGGTCCGTTGTAATTATGGAGTTGCACGCGTCGCGTTGAGTTGCCGGTTCATTTGTCAACGGATGGGAGCGCGTAATTTTGGAGTGACCAATTCTGATCCATAGCACGGCTAGTTAATATCTCCCCCGATGGTTGACTTTCTTTTTTCTCATTACAGAGAGAGAGAAAATTGTTTCGCTGATTGAAGGATTTACAAAACTGTGATATAATTAAGTCTACGTTCCTGCGGCACAGGCCCGGAGCAACTGAAAATTAATGGAATTTTATATCCTTCGTTAAATGGCTCCATCGAGTTAAAAATAAAACAAAGTTGCAAGGGATTCTGTTGATGTTCAGACTTTATTGCACTTTCGAGGGTTTTAGTAGCCATAAATCCATAAAAATGCGCAGTTTAAGTGTCACTCTCCATACTTTTGAAACTGTATTGCGGCTCGAGAACTCCGCCGGAGAAACGATTGAAAATTATTTGTGGACGGCAGCAACAATGTGACTTATAAAAGAAACGTTCACCTTTCAAGTCGTATTGATCCCTTTGCATTCCAAGCGATTTAACATCCTGTCATTTCATGCATATGGAATTTGCGCTTTATCATATCGCGCGTAGCAATCTATTAAATGCAAGAATGATATGCATGTATGGTAATTTGATAATATGATAATTTTTCGCGCATACTATACTTACATTATTAGTAATTTATTAAATACAATAAATTTAATAATGTACGGAATATTGTATTTAGTACCGACGATTCAAATTTTGGGATAATTAATATTTTTATATTTATAATATTTATAATACTTTTATATTTGTTTCCTTTTATAAGTACATTTTTTTTTAATTTTGTAATATTTCTTACATTTAAAAAAAAATCTTTCAAACATTCTAGCAGATCTACCGTTCACAGATATACTTATATATGTTATTTATTTACAATTTTATTTCAATCTGTACACCTGGATTGAAGTTCTTCATGTTTCAGATATTCATGATAGCAATTTTCAATTTGCTTACAACTATGTACATATGTACAGGGATATTTTTTTTAACATCACGACTCTACGATTCTACAATTTCATTTCGAATCGATTCTTCAATCAAAGAATCAAATTTCATTCGAATGATTATTCGAATAAATTCCTCGAATCAAATTTCATTCGAATGATTATTCGAATAAATTCCTCGAATCAAATTATATTCGAATAATATATCGAACTAAATTCTTTGAATAAAATTTGATACATACAATATTCCAAATAAATTCTTCGACTAACATTTTATTCAAATAAATTCTTCCACCAATATTTTAATCAAATAAATACTTCGAATAATATTTTACTCGAATAACATATCGAATAAATTCTTCGAATAAAATTTGATTTCTTATTCGAATAAAATGTGCCCGACTATTTACCCAAATCAAATTCCACTTATATCTTGTATTATACCGAGATCGAGAAGTTCTATCGCGTTGTACCTCTTGCTGTGCCTCTCGGTCCCTTTTCCCCAGCATTTTCACACTCGTCGTCGGTACAGGTTCTGACAAAACAGTGTCCGATCTTTTCCACCCGGCGCGCAACGAAAGAAAGAAGAGAGTCACGCGCATCTGGGAAACAAGTTTACAATTAGAAGCAGGGAGTTTCCCGGTAATAACGAGAATCCTTACTGCCAGTGAAATACGCCGGTCGTACGTACGTTCTCGGGTAATCTCGGCTTAGAAGATGCCTGGCTACTCGTTCGTCTTGCGCGAGGGACTTTCATGCGGCCAATAAATTCTCTCCTGCAGTGTTACCCGAGCGATCNAATTTCATTCGAATGATTATTCGAATAAATTCCTCGAATCAAATTATATTCGAATAATATATCGAACTAAATTCTTTGAATAAAATTTGATACATACAATATTCCAAATAAATTCTTCGACTAACATTTTATTCAAATAAATTCTTCCACCAATATTTTAATCAAATAAATACTTCGAATAATATTTTACTCGAATAACATATCGAATAAATTCTTCGAATAAAATTTGATTTCTTAT